CATTGGCACTCATACCACATCTTTTTATTTATATCAAATATGAACTTCGTATATTCCACACTGTGAGGCAAGCTTTCAATTGTCCAAACAAGCACCAAGTTATACTAAAAAAACCTACAAACCTTAGGTGTTGCGTTTTTTTTTTTTTTTTTTTTTTGGTTTTGGCTTAGTTGTGCATATAAGAAACCAGATGACGATCCAGATTAGGCAAGGAATATGACTGCCAAGAAGAGACACATCGGATGCGCAGCACTTTTGAATCTGCTACGGCTCTTATTATAGATACTAAATATTAATCATTTACATAGACATTTGAACATCGGAATAAAACATAACAAAACCACCTGAACAATCTTGAACTATACAATAAATTCTGAATTTAATTCTGATAATTAAAATTTTTGGACGCATAAATACCGTGTCACGTCAAGAGTCATACGACCAAAAGAAACACAGTAGCACAAAGACAAATAAAGGGAAATGTGTGAAGTAAATAAAAAGAAACACAACTTCAACACCTAGAATTTATAACTCAGGACCATCTTGTATTATGTATGAAGTAGTCACGGAATGTTTAATTATTAGGTCTTGGAACTTTCCGATAAACTGTTCGAGAAAAAGGACGAGACATTTTTTGACAAACCCTACTTTTGTTTTATCAGGCACCGATCCCTTACACGGGTCATCCGTATGATCCGTGTAAGGTACGCAATGTCCGTCCGTCAAATTGTAAAAAAGTTCTACGAGAGCTTTCTTACAATTTGACGAAAATTACGTACGCTTGACGAATCAAACGAAAGACTCGTTTTAGGGATCCTTTATTTTGACATATTTATGTAATCTTAATGGAAGCGCCATGGAACTTCGATGACGTTTCACCTTAATGTTTGCCTAATAAGGACCATTGCACTGCATACAATTATCCGTGTTCAACTTGATTTTTCGAGAGATATAGGAATTTCGGGACGTACGAAAGGTGAAAATATAATACCACCAAGGGGAAGGAGAAAACTTCAAAATTTCCTAAATATAGGCTCGTCAGAAGAAAAAAATCATAAAAATAAATAATTGTGCTCAACAGACCCCCATACACCCGAGTTAGGCTCACATATGGAACCGTTCTTTCAGCGTATAATTTTGTTTTCGTCCCGAACATTCATGAAATATTTGACACTGGACAATAGGGTTAGGGTTAGGCTCACATATATCTGCTCAACATACCCCCCCCCCCTCCCCCAAAAATTACAACTTTGCATTATTTAACCTAAGAAAAAACCAAGGCAAATACATTGGCTTCTCCCTCACACTAAAAATAAGATAAAATAAAAAACAAATGCTTCCTAAATTCAAAATTTTGCAACCCCAAAATTAATAGATGAGAAAAAAAAAATGGCATCCTAAACATATTATGCAGGGGCTCGTTTAATAACTTGCACCAATTCCCCGCCTCTCCCTGGAAACAACCCATTGTCGCCTTGTGATGTGCCAATACACGCGAGTTAGGATCACATATGGAACCGTTTTTTCAGCGTATAATTGCGTTTTCGTCCTGAACATTCATGAAATATTTGCCACTGGACGATAAGCGACCAATAATCCTATATCCTTACTTGATCTATAATTGCATCCGATTGCCTCTACTCAGCACACATTCCTAGCCTACTATTCTAAATCTTCGCCTTGGTCTATTATATACAGCTACATGCAAGTCAGAGACAAAGACGGTTTAATTTTCCAAAACACCGAAGTTTTCCGTTTTTTTCTTTGGGTTTGTTTTTCTTCTTTTTTTACATTTTAATGCTTGGTATACAGTGTGAACTATGTAGCGCTCATATTAAACTTTATCTGCATTAATGTTGATGATCAATCTATTTGTTGGTTGACTGTTGTCTCGAGGACATTTATACTATTATATCTAACTAATAGAAGTTAAATCAAACCTATTTGTGAGGGTGTGTGTGTGTGTTATTTGTCCCCCTCCTCATGGAATTTGATTTCACATGTTCGCTCGTGTTAACACCATTCTTCTGTAAATGATAAATGCACCACGGATTGGTCCACAATTAGTAGTTGATTAAAGCAAATTAACGACGTGTAAAAGAATGATCCCAAATCAGTTGGGTATATAGCATTACCTGAAGATATTACTAGCTGAAAAACAGACCATGAAAATCATCTGTGAAATACTAAGGCAACGACCATTAGCTTTCAACGGGGTGGGGTAGGGGGGTAAAGTATTGTTCCGTTTCACATTTGTTTCCTGCGATCCCAAGAGTCACATTACTTTTTTTATCACATTTAACCTTAACATTAATAGAAAAAAAAACTTCATCGCAAAATCTTTTTTTGTTCCCAGATTTATTTCACATTACTTTTTCAAAACATTGCAGGATCCTTGTCTTGCAAATCTCGATGATCCACGTTGACAATTTGATGATAGCATACTCATTAAAAATAAACATTATTGTGAATCAAGGGCTAATATGCATAAAACTACTTAAGTTAAGATATCCAATCGTAGTACTTATTTATCGTAGAACATGTAGAAAAATCCGTCCGTTCGGAACAAATCTTACTTAAGTAGTTTTATGCATACCAGCCCATGTCCTTAAAATTAGATTATCATACTTCGATAATTTCATTACAATAATAATGGCGAAACGCATGCTTGAACAATTCCGGCGCCAAAGTGTGCAATCGTGGTTAACATAAGTAACGTATCGGACGTAAGTGTACTTGAGACTATTTTTCTTTATTTTCAGATTTTAGAAATCGTGTTTTATTTGCGATATGCTTAAATTTTTAAAGAAAAGAATGCTGTTGTACCGGATAAAACAAATTAGACTCTTGTGTTATCGTGTAAATGTAATGCATGCTCCCTTTACGTTCGTTCGTACCTTTCGTAAAGTAATCTGCTATAAATACATCATTTTTCAAAATGAATAAAATAAACCATACGACAACCACTGACGAGGTTCCTGATTCAAGCAAGCGCATGAACAGGTGGTGGGTAAGACTATTTTAGAAAGAAATCTCGATACGGTCTCTTTTAATCTCAATAAGTGGATTGGTTGATTGATTGATTGGTGCTTAACGCCACTTCAAACACTATTGTGCTATTTCGTGGCGGTCAGTATTTATTGGTTGAGGAAGCCGGAGAGCCCGGAGAGAACCAACGAACTTTGGTAGGAAAACTGACAATCCTAGTCAATTAAGATTGGAGTCGAGTGCACCTGCCCCGTGCGGGATTCGATCTCACAACCTCAGTGTTGACTTGCTAATGATACAGTAGTTCGACTACTTATATCACTCGGCCACCGAGGCCCCTTAATAAGTGGAAGAGGAACATGTAGTTCAAATCAGTACCGGGAAATTATATAAATACTAGATAACACCAGTACGACAATAACGATAAAAACAATACCGATTAAAAAATACTCGCAGTTTTTAAAGGCAAGCTCAAAATATCTGATCCACTGATTTTTTGTCGTGCCGTCCTGCATTCTAAAGTAGAAGATAATGTTTAAAAATTATAGAACTTATTGCTTCAAACTTGATATCAAAATTGAGTAACTTATATCTTTACAAAGAGAGATTATCTATGCTTGATATATATATATAAACGCCTAAAAAGTATACACAACAACACCAATAACAAAAAAAAGGAACTATAAATGTAATTATTTATAAATATTTCGGATAACAGATATCCTTCATCAGTAAATATGATTGTGATGTTGAATGAATCATATATATATATATATATATATATATATATATATATATATAAGTACTCTGAACCATTGACAACTCTACAACAGATTTATCCATCGGATCACCAGCAGTGATGGTGATACATAGCTGTGTACAGGCGAATTGGTGTCATGATATCAATGTAGCATGAGTTCGAATCCCGGCGAGGGAAGAACTAAAAATTTGCGAAAGCAAATTTACAGATCTAACATTGTTGGGCTGATGTTTAGACAAGTTGTATATATATATATATATATATATAAATATTAATTTGTTTATTTAGGGGAGGTAGCTCAGAAATAGTATAATTTCTGAAGGAATCTAGATGAAATTTTTATATTTTATGTTTTAACAGGAAAAAAAACGTATGGTGACCCATTTTTTTCTTTCGTTATTCCGAAAGCAATTTTTAAAGCTATCTTTTCGTAACTTATTTCACAATCCAATCATTTAGTTTAACTTCTATTCACATAATGACATTTCCCCTTGTATAATCCATACAAAATGCGTCATTTGTACACAACCTGTAGCTTGAAAAAAAAGCTCAGTGGCCTATCATTTTATTGTATTTTTGAACATATCACATATACTACATTTTGGCAAAGTATGATTTTTTTTAATTATTTTTCGTTTATACTCCCATACCATCTTAATACCTGCTTTGCACACTTTAATAGCTTGAACAAACACAATTGCTTCCGAGAGTATTCATTGGTGTCAATCTTGATATTGTTAATGCAAATCAGTTGAAATTGAAGGGCAAATGTTAGAAAAAAAAAAATTTTTTCTCTTTTCTTACTTTTGTCATTTATAACAACAAAACAGATCCAAAATGTGGAACATTTATGACTGTGTGTGCTAAAACAAAATTTGCCTTTCTCAACACTTTCAGTTTTAAAAATGCACTCAAGTTAAAAGTGAAAGTCTTATATCTTTTTGCACTTTTGGCCAATGAAACACGTTGATAAGAATGATACTCTGTGGGCCAAGTTTCGGCGTCATAACAAACTGCCTTCTTGAATACATATTATTAGCAATGAGTAATGAACACAAAGTCAATTTATTCATTCATGAATATCAAAGTCTGTTTTGACTCGGTATTACAATTGTTTTCTCTCTCAAAATGATAAATTCATGTACAGTGTGATCAGATAGACCTATTTAGGCTGATTGAATAAATCTAATTCGAATCCCTGATTTTCTGATATTTTCATATCATTCATAATTCAACAAAAAATAACAAACCGCAATTTTAAGAATTTTTATTTCAAGCTTCGTGTAGTTCAATATCTACAAATCTATATAATTCTTGTTGTATTACATAACTATCCTTTAAATATTTGTAAATATTATATACACCTACACAATTTATAAAAATCGCAAATTAGGATTTTTGAAGAAAATCCAGATTGGCATATAACACAATGGCAATTTTACACACACATTTGTTTGAAAGATCTTCGAGGAGATCTGTACTAAATGATATATATAACTAAAGAAAGGTTGATCATTCACACTCTGATAAATTTATCACTACGTTAATTCCAAAAATCAAATCATCTACACTTTCAGTTAAACTAGATTTTATTTACTTCTAATCACTTATCTCTATCTAATTAATATGTAAAATTTCAAATAATTGCTTTGTTATTTAATGATTTTGTATCTACGAAACAGATTTGTAGGTTATTTTGTTATTTATTTTTGGTTCAGTGGTAATTGGTAATAAGTCTGAAATAGCGATTGTTTTTAATATCAGGATCATCTAAAATGTCATAACATAAAACTGCTAATATTGTTTGGAGTTAAGTTATTTTTAAGATATTTCCGTGAGATAATTTAAGTACTTTTCAGACATTTCGTTTGCAGTCAATACAGTTCTGTTATATCAATCGCTTTTCAAACAATTCTATATTTACTGTTTTGATACATACAAATAACTATGGAACCAATTTAAAAGCCTGAAATAAAAGATCGTTTAGATTTAAAAGTATTTCCCAGTGATTTGATATAACTGTAACATTTAGGAAACTTGTACTGGCCATTATTGTTTATATACAGTCGAACTTTGCACAAATACAATATGACGAAATATAAAATTAATACCTGTACATTTTTAAACATCTCAAAAAGCCAATTTCAACTACAATGCTTTACATTGATACATTTATGCTAATAGTTTTCTTTCAATATACATACACCAACTAAATCAACGTATTATACTATCTAAAACATGTTGCATTTAAGAACAAATTTAGAATAATAAAAAAATATTCATTGGTAAACTTACAATATTAGCCACAAATTAATGTCGCAAAAAGCAATACAATAACGTATAATGAATATCACTGTTTAGTTAACAAAGAAATGCTAGTATCCAAAGTGTCATTGAATGTAACAGTCATATATCCCTGAATATTATGTGTGAGTAAAAGGTAGTACATTATATATTTTGAATCTTTAGAGTATTTTGGTGTTTTTCAGTTTTATCTATAAATGCAAGTGAGCTGTCTTTTTCCATTCTGACAATTTCTAGCAGCACAGGCATACTCTCTTAGGAACTCGTTTTTCACCTATTAAAATAGTACAATAATATGAAATCTGAGATATAAAGTATAAACAACAAGCAAATGTTATATATGCAAAGTGTTGATAAAATAAAGTTAACGATCAACGTCTTATTTATTTAACAAAGATGTTATGTTAATGTTAATACGGGACTAGAACAGCTTCTGTAAAAATCAACAACAACAACCTACAATTCTATAAATATTCGCCCCTATTCTAGGTAAAGTCTAGCTTGCTTCCCTATATCAAATAGTTTTGAAAGAATAATGATCAAAACAAACAAAGTCCGTCTATGAGAATATTCGGTTTTGAGCGTTTCTAACGAAGGAAAATCCAGAAAAACGCTTCGGACGCAAGATACCATAACGTGTTGTTATCAGTTTTCTCTCTCTTCCCAATTTTGAAAGCTTGAAGTAAACAAATACCGTTTTGATTGATAATATTTTTGTATTACACTTAAACATTATGATACATGATCCTGATTGACTGAAACCTTTTAAATCATTATACGATTAGTGCAATAGAAGACTAATAAGGGGTTCCAAATTACACAATGAACGTTGCAGCACAAGAAAAGACTTTTGAATAAAAAAAAATAGCAAAGATATCAGGTGTATGTTTTACTTCACTAAATGCGCGTTGTCAGTTTATTTTCGACTTATGAGTTTGAATGTCCCTTTGGTTTCTTTCCCCTTTCTTTTTCTTATCCTCGTTTGAAAAGGGAGACTACTGGACTTATGTACGTTCCATTTCCATTTCTGTGCAGCGTCTGTATGTGAAATATTTATCTCCCAGCTGAAACGATATTCCAGGCTAAGAGCTTGCTGGCGTAAACAATTATAGGACTGGTATCTTTGATGAAGTGTTTTTTTCTATTATGATTTCCTTGACAGAGGGTTGCTGCTGACGAGGAAGCTATTATGCCAAGAGGTCCAAGAGGTGAAGTTGAAATCATCCCTTCTAAACTTTTACGGACGCCATCACGAGTTGGTTGACCGTTGTGGAATATCTGTTTCACAGATGACTACGGTAATGACGGATATGTTTCAATTGTCGTAATTAACTAAATTAACTAAAATCCCGTCCTCATTTCCTCGAATGTGGCCGACTTAATTAGACTTACTACAGGTTTTGTACTCATATGTGCAACAACACGGTTGCCATATGTGGAGGAGGATCAGCTTATCAGGAGCACCTGCGATAACTTCGAAATTTTATTGGGGTTTGTGTTGTTCAGTGTTTAGTTTTCTATATTGTTTTTGCTATTCTGTTGGTCGTTTTTCGTTTTTTGCCATTATGTTGTCAAGTTTCTTTTTGACTTGTGTGTTTGAACGTCCCTTTGGTATCTTTCGCCTCTCTTTCGTGACATTTGTGTTATTATACCGAATTTTGGCAGGTTTTTGCCATAGCGATTTGAATACCTTGGACTTAAGTGTACATCAAATTTACATACAAGTCATAATGATATTGAAATGTGCTACAAATTTGGATAATAGTATTATCTAACATAGGACATTTAATTAAAAAAAAACACTTTTAAAGTATATATTTCCGATGTTCAAATCTCGCAAAGCGACTAGAAAGAGACAAATTAAGGTAACTAACAGAAAATTAGGGAATCACATGCCTAGAGAGTATGTAATGTAGGTTGTTCAGATGTTTATATATATTAGAAATCTTATTCACGACTGTATTACCCGATTTTCTGTAGGAAGAGAGACAACTTTCATTCGATTTCGTAAAAATTATATTCGTATTCACATCTTGTGTTAATTTGTTTCTCTAATGAATACAAATTAGATTTGAAGACTTTCATTTAAGTAAAAAAATCTAATAACTCCAATATGTACTGTATTTAGAAAGCTAAGCAGGCGGTTTTATCATTATATTCTTTATTGTTATGTGTCCGTATAATCGTTAACAAACATTAAGTTGAGTTTATTCATGATGCAAATTTAAGATACGATCACTAGTCAAGCATCGAATTTTGAATTGCCTCATACGATTCCAGTGACAAGTCTAGCCCAGCAGAACATCCTTGTTATTATTAGTGCAACTGATCTACCCTTTACATCGGGAGTTCACACAAGGTTTATGTATGTTGCGCTCCGAAAAGAGAATTCCTGATAGCTCATGTTTGAATTGTTAACTGGATAAAAAAATCTTACTTAAGGTAGATCATAGGTATATATTTCCTCAGATAGATTTTTTTTATACTTTGCCAAAATAAAGATTTTTCTATGCTTTTTCCAAAAATATAATAAAAAGTATGGGTCACCGTGCTATTTTTCAAGCTACGGGTTGTACGAAATTGCACGAATTTGCTTAGATTGTTCATGAAAAAACACATTTTTGTGCTCAAAAAGAAATCTATGAGATAGAATTTTGAAATATAATATGAGAAGATAGGTTTCATAATATGCTTTAAGAAAATAAAAAGAAAAAATGGTGTCACCGAACTTGTTTTCTTGCTACAAGTAAAAAATTTAAATTTCCCTATCAGTCCAGTATAATTTTTTACTAAAAGAGTTATCTCCCCTTAAATGGCCAAGCTGAAAAAATGGTTCTAAAAACACAATTATTTGGTATTTATTTAAACATTTTGAATAATGCAATAAATCACCAAGTTTTCTTTCATTAAATAAACAGTCTAACCTATAAATTGCCTATCTGTCTCCAAATTTGCAGATTTGGGCAAAGATCTAGACCGATTGTGTACTGCGATTGTACAATCCAAGATGGCGGTATACCATGAATCTACCTTAAAAAGAGTTTTAACCTTATGTTACTTTTATAGCTAAATGTATAGCATTGTTTCGATTTTAACGTCTGGTGCAAAATGTAATCACGTACGTATTTTTCTCCCTTTTTCCTGAAAACAAAATTGCATTTTGTTACGTGTAATTATCTGATTTCTATAAAGTTCTGTTTACAATAAATACATTTCTACAGACTTATGAACTTACAATAACATTATGATTACATCTTTCCCTATCAGCAGGTGTTCTGCAACCAGACTCAAGTTTTCTATTAACATTGTATCCCTCATTCCCCCAGTTGTAGACGATGTTATAAATATTGCCTCCCTGGAAAGAAAATCAAAAAGTAGAGAGAGAGAAAGGGAGGAAAATAGCTTGAAGACAATGTTTTAGTATATGTAAAGTTGGTTGTGTATTCAAAGCAAGCTTAAGATATACAGTTGATGGTTTCAAATGTTGTGTTGATTCATTTATTTTTTTTTATATTACATGTATATGATGATGTTTCACCGGCTACTTGTGTACAATTATTCACACTTTACCAGTCGCACTATTCAATGTTTTCTTCGTGGAATGAGAAAATGTTTTTTCTAAATGACGTGCTTGAAACGCGTATTTGTTATATGATATTCACTCTTACTAAATTACAAAAATATATATAAAACTCTGTTATTAGCATTGGTCCGGTAAGATGGAATGATAGTCATTTAAACTTCTTTATTCGAGAGTCAATGATAAGTCTTTCGTAGACGAAACGCGTGTCTGGTGTACAAAATTGTAAGCCTGATTGTGTGTGATGAGTTTTTTATTAAAGAGCTTGAGGAACAAAGAATTAACCTTTGCATTAACCTGGCCAAACGTTAAAATCTCAGTTTTAATCTCTATAGTAAAAATAATCAGTTCGTTATTTCACAGCCAATCAAACTGTTCTGATTTTATGAAATGTACACATTATCTATTTTTGATATGACTGACCATAAAGAATATAATGTTACGTTTTTTGCTGGATACAGGTTAACAAGAAACAATAACGTAGATTTTTCTTATTTCTTAGTAAGTTGATATCTTATATGTAGTACTCATCAAAGGAAGTAGTCTTAAAATGAAAGGACTTTAGTGGTCTTGAAGGCCATCTTGTTTTGGTAATTTTGAGTTTCTTTGACATTTTCAGTTTCACAGAATTACGGAAATATTCAACAGTTGCCTTTGCTTGGTGATTTCAGTAAACATGTTAAATACATCTTAAACAAAATTCCTGTCTTATATTATTACAGTTTTTAATTCTTGTAAGTTTTAAATGATTTTGACATTGAAAACATCTTTCCAGAAAATATATTGTAGGCTTAATATCACTTCTGAAGCAAATGTCTTACACTATGTAAGAGGTATTTCGTAGCCTTGTTGTTGTATAAGATACCAGCTTCATGAAAATTAAATCTTACATTTGATATTTGACCAAAGTTTGTATATGTGGTGATAGGACCGGGATATTCAACTACACATCGTATTACGTAATCCGCCCATCTCTGAAGGTATCTACTCCACTTCTGAAAAATACAAAAGACATGTTACATAATAATTGATAGCACAAATTACCTCTTTTCGTCGTTCTGTAACAAATGAAAAGATTAAATAATCTTTATTTTAAGAAAAAAACATAATTAATTAAACCTAAACTTCCTGCGGGTCCTGTCATAAGTCCCATAAGTCAAATCTCAATAACGTTTATAATGTGGGATAAAAGTAAATCATTTTCACAAATAAATACATATTTGTATTATTATTTACAGTCAAATACAAAGTATCCAAAGACTACTCGCTAAAATAAATACTAATAGTTAATGGGGTGGGGGGGGGGGGGGGGGGGGGGGGGTGTTATACTCTACCGACAATTACGAAGCATTTGAGTTCAGCCAATCTTTCATTTTCTGAGTAATGCATTTTCTATTGTTTGCCTTTTTCTCCTTTTTATCTTATGGCCGCAGTGCTGTGTGTCATTGTCCGTTGTGGGTTTTTGTTTCATCCGTTTTCGATATCTGCCTCCTTTTCATGAATAAATATGACATAAATAAATCAATTAGATTCCTACTATATTTACTCTTTTATACCCTTACCAATGCTGTAATCTGGTTCCCTCGCAGAAGATTGTGTGCCTGAGTTAGATAATTCTGCTCTTCTACTGTAACACTACCTGTTTAAACATAAAATTATAATTTACTATGCATTCCACAGAAAATAATCCACGTGTTTCGGAAGTGAACAAAAACTATCAACCTAGTTTAATTTTAGCATTCAAGCAGAGGATATAGATAAAATAAATTCATTCAAACATTTGTTTTATGCACACATTAGATACAAATGATAATAATGTACAATTTAAACTTACACATAGTAATGCAAATAAAGACATTCGTGAAATCAGGAAGCTTAACATTAATCTCGCTTTTCATGAATGAAATACTGTGTATGAGATAGGTTTTATTAGGTTTTTCAACTTTTTATAGAAAGACCTAATTTTAAAATTTTGCGTGATTTTTATTGTTTTCCTCTTTCGTCAATTTTTTGCTGTTTTTATTTTGCTTCGCATCATGTTTAAAGGATATTTGATGATGCTATCAATCAATTATAGCGCTTTTGAACTCATTCTGCTTTAACGAACTTATGAATTAACCCCAACTAATACTAATACTGTTTTCTAGTTATCACATCTTCAACCGAAGTAAAAAAATATCTACAAACTTATAATTTTCATTAAATTGTCTGTTAAATTTTCAGGATTCGTAGGTCAATTTTGACCTAAGGGACCAAGCGACATGCAATGTGAGTTATTTTTCGCTTATTTCAAAACAGTATATTGGTGTTCATCATAAACCGTAAGCCTGAAACACATTGGGTCTTTTGATTAAAGGTAGTTGGCACAAACAATTGAATCGAGGTCAAAGGTCAAGGTCATGTTCTATTTATCGTTATTTGTTATCGCATCTTCTCTGAAGCATAAAGGACTGTTTCAAAATATTTCGATTAATAAGATACATAATTAGTATACATTTGATACAAATCGATCATATGACTTATAGGAGTTACTGCCCCTGAAATGTTTACGATAAAGAATAATGCATTAAATTTTAATGCTTCTGGATTCTTTTACATGATGCTCGAAAGCATGTGATCTTTGATTCACCGAAAGTAGCCATCATTGTGCTAATTTCATTTGAAAGTACCTAGAACCCATAGTTATGTTTTTGAAGTAACATGACACTAGAAGTGACAATGTGCAAATCGGTAGTACATGTATCACCAAATGTGAATTTGTGCTTTGTGAATTATTCTAAACAAAAGAGCACACGATTGGTGATGAAAATTAATTTATATATAAATTTGCAAATATTATGTAAATTTAAACGAAATGCTAGATATACAAATTGTTATGGTGCATCCTTGTCAATTTCTTTTGAATTTTAATACATTATATTTGAAGAAGAAACCAAAAAAAAAAAAGATCGCCAACAAGTTCACTTGTTTAAAATGAACGTCTTACACCCGGCAATAAAACCTTTTTCCAAGAGGTCTCTCAAAATATGGATGTTTAATTTGATGCCTCGTACAGTTAGTGCCACATTAAAGAACCCCTGTAACAATTATTTGAAGGAAATGTTCTGCTCCTCTCCGACATAACCTTTTCCACTTTTTCTAGTGTCAATCAAAATCGCGGTCGACCAACTTTGCCAAAAATGTCAATGTGTCAACGTATTGAATTTTTATACAAAATTTAACAATTGATGTTAAAGCCCAAAATATCAATCAATCAGTTAATCAATCAATCAAACAATCAATCAATTCTACTTTCATTAGTAGAATGGCGTCATTAGGGAAAGTATTCAGGTTCCTGATTTGTTAATACATTACCAGATAAGAGATATAGAAATTCGAGGTCGAAAATTGCCATGCTCACTTAATACTTTTTTGTACGTTTCGAACAAATCCTTGCTTGCTACAGTGTATATAAGTGCTCAATTTCATACCAATCATTATGAAAATAACATTTAATACATGTGTTCTGTTCTTTTACAATAGTACTTTAAGATATTTCGTTTTTTCCATCATTTTAAGAGGATCTTTTTAAATATCTCGTCATCAAATAAAATTAAAAAACAAATATTCAATAAATCAATTCAACATGATTAATTATGTTCAACGGCCAGTACATGTACAATGTACATTGTATTTCATTAAATTGAAAAAAAAAACACAAATCTGCTAGTTTTCTGATATTTTCCTGAAATAAAAGTATTTCTAAAGCATATAATAGTGAAGTGGCAACTTAAAAATATGAATATGCGATCTAAAAGTATAAAACTGTAAAAATATCAAAAATTTAGAATGTCCACAACATTTTCTATGAAAGTCTTTGAAAAATATTTACAAATTAGAAAATAATAATAAAAATGTATTAATAATCATATACATTTCTTGTATGTGTTTATTGACTAAAAAAAATGCACATGTGCAAATTATATTATAAAACTCTTCTTTCATGCAAAATGCAGCAAACATATAAGCATATGTATGATACCTTGTATTGTAGATCGACCAAAAACTGTAGAAAGCCCTTTAACCATTAACTTAACTAGTACATGCATAATCGACTAAAAGTTACCTGTAGTGTATTGATATTCAACGTTTTAAAAAGATAGTATTCTTCTTAAAGCACGAATTATAATTATATTATAAAAAATATTAAAGGATCAACAAGTACATAATGAAACTCATGTTTAAAAATTGTAACTTAAAAAATAATTTATTAAAAAATGAAAATCTATAAATTCAAATCAAATCATAATTTTTTTAGAGATAAAAATACAGATATCCATTCATGTAATTCATTAATGAAGGAAAACATGATAAACATTTACGTCGAATTCTACCTACATATATGCTGACTTCACTTCTCATGCCGAACACCACCAATCTAACTTAGCGTGCAAAGCATAATCTAATAGTGCTACAAAGCATGCTTGAGTATAATTTACAAGAAGTTTCTCTAATCATTCTGTTTATATCAAATTACGAATAATACACCCTCAATCTAAAAAGGCGGCTATAATAGTAGCTATGGATGGAAAATAATAATGCATTTCAGAGCAAGCAGGCGTGACACGACTCGCCTGGTGCCGTTATTCTTTGCGACTGTCTTCTTCGGGTTTGAGTGGCAGGTCGTCTTCGTATTTGTGCAGAAGGCCTTGTATTACGTCTTTGGTGAGCTTCAAGTTCCTCTCTTTGACGTCTTAGCTGTTCACGCTCGTATAATTGTTGTGCTCGTTGTCTCTCCCGACGCAGTCTATCTCTACGTAAGTAATCGTCGTAAGATGTGTATCGTCTTCTAGTTTGTCGCTTCACTAGTGGAATAAATTCGTGTATGCATTCATAAAAACATTATGTTAAAACTTAATTACAATGTAATAGTAAATTTAACGTGCTGTGATGCTGGCTTGCCAGCGATCCGTCTGTTAACCTATGCAAAAAATTCGTCATTGTAAGTGTAAAACAACACGCAAACTCTTAATTAGACACTTTCAAACGAACATACGTGATTACCAAACGATCATAATTAAAATCATGTCGAAAAAACTTAGACAGACAACATCCAGTAAATGATGTCTACATACGAAAAAGCCATTACAATTAAGTTTCAATAAAATTTGCCTAGAAGTCTTTTTAAAATAGAAATGATAACTTCTAAAATTTAATTTTATCATTTTAATGAACTCTGAATTCTTCAAACCATGAATTGTGGTTAGTGGTTATTTTTGTCAGTCAACACTATTTCAATACTGATGTTTATATATTCTAAGAAAACGATATTTTTGTAGGGAAATTAGATACTAAGTACATGACAATAAGCATAGAAATAGTTAAACATATTTTTTCATGCGCACATTTGATATCAGTTACTAAGCTGAATGTTTTCATTAGCAACGTATGTGAAAAATCCTTTTTAATTTTAGTTAGTTAGAATTAAAACAAAAAAAAATCAGATTAGAATTTTATTATCGTAGTATATTAATATATATGATAAAAAGTTGGATATGCAAATCTTACTTCTTCTTCTTCTCCGTGGAGTTATTTTCAACTCCGTATTTACGCCATTAAACACCTTTTCACTGGCCTCTCTCCCCTTCAGTGCTGCAGGTGGAATTGGTAACAGTACATTTGTCTGGTCATTTGATGTGTTTCTGTTCGGTATATATCCCCTTGAGTCTTCTCGAATGATGATATTGGCTGTTGGAATATTTAGTTTTCTTTCTGGTAATTTTTCATTGATCACATTTCCACTGTGTTTGATTTTTGTCCATTTCTTCTCTGTTTTATGAAAGGAGTGAGAGAAAAATGCATAAAATTATGGTGTGTACATATAACAATATATTTAACTTTAAAATGCTCATTGGCTCTCCAGAATTCATTGACTTTAGGACTTAGGGAGTTCTAGATTTGTAGTGTTCGTGACCAAGAAAACAATTAATTATTTTACAAAATGGCAACAGCTATTATGAAATTCCGTGAACATTTTAAAGTTTATACTTGTATACTACATATGAACAACAAACCCATCTCTCAACGTGTACATTGAAAATTTGAAATTTTGCCTTTACATGATACAGGCATTACACTTAACCCCAAAATGAATTTGATTGTAAGACATATTTCCATTTATTTATAAATAAAACAGTGTATTTTTTTATAATGTTTCATATTTAAAGGATTCTGTCTTATTGTTCCAGAATGTTTCGTTAAAGGATTATATGTCACAATACAACCTTGATAACAAATATTGTTCATTAAATAATGTTGACTTATATCATGTCTCAGTAACAGACAGAGCCTCTAAAAATCTTTTTATGCTAAATTCATTTGTTAATGTCATTTGACCATGACTGCTCCATATGTCATCCGGTAAAAAAGGACAAAGACAAAGATGAGGATTTTGTGTAACACTGTACAGATATTCATTTTGACTTAAAAAATTCACAATATTTCTTCCTTGTGTTTTTCATGTAAAGGCAATATGTAACAAGGAGAACAAGTATTCGAACTTAATGTGGTTCATATGAGATAACCTATTCTAAAGTAGATGTTAGAGTATTTCCGAAGACGATAATTGTTTTAGTGGTGGTGACGGTTTTCCTGGAAATTGTCAACAGTTTAACTATTAAGACGATGAGTCAATGGTATTTCGCTTTAAACTGAATATTTGATAATAATATATATATTGTGATTTAAAATTTATTCAAGGGGTAAAATTGTGTTCCTTTTTCGTATAATTTATAAAAAATGCTATGAATATCTAATAAAAGTATATCATCTGATTAGTTTTGTTTTAAGTGTTTTATTATTCCGTTATTGTAATTGCCAATAACGGATACCCTGTGTTGTCAAATGTGATGATCTTGAGACATTTGACTTCTGCAATGTATACCCTCTTCAAACACCTCCGGTCTAACTGCGGAGCACATTTTTAGAAGAAATACGGCCTACATTTACCTGAAAGAGTCCAATATGACCTTCCTCAGTAGCAGTCTAAATTGTCCTTTCGTTGCTCATCTACCTTTTAGATTCTACCAATTTAATAGTAGAACTTAAATTTTATTCATTTTAAAATGCATGATATATTTGCCACTGGAAGCTCATCAAGACCTAGATGATTACATCCATAAGTTGACGGTCTGTTTTAAACTACCTGTAAAAAACCCTTAAATTTTCCAGTTAATATGTATTTAATTTCTTACTTGTGCACATTTTCCGTTTACAATGATAGCCTTGTGGACATGCTGAACATTTCCTGCCATATGTAAAAGGTTGTTTATCTAATTCTACTCTGAAAATAAACGTTAAATCACTTGTTATAATTCATATTGACTATATGTGTATTGTTATACTCATATTTCCAGAAATAAAAAATCAAGACATGTGTTTCAGAAAATCTGCATGTCAAAGAACCCAGGTAAGATATCCGGCCAAATTTCAAACGTTAACCAAAATGCCCTTACATTTCACTGTCAGTTTAAAGCACCTTTTCCTTCGAAAAGTTTTAAATCATCTTTATCCTGCAATACGGGTCGCATATTTGCATGAATCATAAATTGCAACTGAAAATGATTTAATAAACACAATTCTACTATACACGTTTCTAATAATTTAAAAGTTTTACGTTATATGTGTCATATATAATATAAGAAATAGTTTATTTAAGTCAAACTAAAATATTTTGATATGAGAAAAGACATCATAGGATGAAAAAGAAGCTGGTGTAGTAATATGACAGTCATTTAATAAACTCGCCCTAACTTTAATAAGTGTAATATATTTACAAGTGTATAGATATATAACTATCTCATGTGATACAATCGTTGTAAGATCATATCTGGAGCGATCCCATATCTATTTTACATACCCTCTCAACAATGATTTCTCTCCGAGGACGGATTGTCTTGGGTAAAAATATACCAGAAGAAAAAGCAAACTGTGCATTTTTCAATATAATGTCAAATATTTCAAACATTAACTTTATGTTTGCAGTTTAGAAAATGACAATTTAAGTTTATGTTTCCAGAATATAAGAGTGTGTGCAATTCTTTTGTTTAAACCTCGTCATGGTCCATAAACACAAACTAGCGTGCTTTTCGGTGAAATTGTAGAGCCGTATGAACGCTGAAATAACAGTTCAGCAGCATTTTACATTCTCTCCGAAAAATGGTTTGATTTATGGCTCAGATTAATTCACTTAAAGCGATATCAGTTTCGGTCTAACTTGCCCCCTGTAGCGTTTTCTTTTAACCTCATGTCAGATTTTGATTTTGACACGTAACTTTATTACACCATTAAAATCGATATCCGATGTAACAAAAAAAGAAAGAAAGAAAGAAAGAACAGATCACCACAAAAAAAAAGAATAAAATTTCGATATGTCTGTATATAGCGTTCGTAAGCAAAGTTTTGTGCAACGGTAGACATCTGATCATTTGTTTGGGGCTGCGAGAAAAAAATGTGTCCATAGTACACGGATGCCCCACTGGCACTATCATTTTCTATGTTCAATGGACCGTGAAATCGGGGTCAAATCTCTTAATTTGGCATTAAAAATTAGAAAGATCATATCATAGGGAACATGTGTACTAATATTCAAGTTGATTGGACTTCAACTTCATCAAAAACTACCTTGACCAAAAACTTTAACCTGAAGCGGGACGGACAGACGAACGAACGGACGCACAGACAAGAAAACATAATGCCCCTTCTTCTATCGAAGGTGGGGCATAAAAATTTATTTTGACTTATTCCCCAAAATAATGACACAACAAATTACAAGCACTCGAAAATTCGAACAATGAGCATGTGCCCAAAGAAAAATCCGTCGTGCGGCGTGTTGATTATCACCGGATATCTTCACAAGCATTAATGTAACTTTATTTTGACACATTTTCACTTTAAATTCGATGTTTGTTAATTTTAGGCAGTTTTTAAGGGTACACAATTTCTTTTTTTCCACTAGTATACATTTAAAAAAAGATCTATTGTCTATCTTATTTCAGCTTTTCGATAGTGAACTTTCTATTTCTATGAAGCAACATTTCAGCAGCACCTGCATATGGAGTATATATTTCCTAGTTGATAAGATATTTCAGACATTGCATTTACAAGATTTCCTTGATAAAGAGTTGCTGCTTACAAGGAAGCTATTAAACCAAGAATTCCAAGTGGTGAATTTGAAGTCATCCCTTCGAAAATTTTACGGATGCCATCACGAGTTGGTTAACCGTATGGAGAATCTGTTTCACAGATGACAACAGATATGCTCCAATTGTTGTACAATCCCGTCATCTTTTCCTCGAATGTGACCTTCCGAATAAGAGTTAGCTTATCATCGGGTTTGTTCTAATATGAGCAACACGAAGTGTGACACATGTGGAGCAGAATCTGCTTACCCATCTGGAGAACATGAGATCACCCCGGTTTTTGGTAGGGTTCGTGTTGCTTAGTCTTTAGTTTTCCATGTTGACTGAATGTGTTTTGTGCACTGTCGTTTGTTGTTTCGTCGTTTTTAGTTTTTTGCCATGACATTGTCACTATGTTTCCGACTAATGAGTTTTCATATCCTGTTGGTATTTTTTGCCTCTGACTCTTTTACATACAATGTTTGTACTTTTCCTATTTTTCTATTCCACAGCATTGAAACTATACATACTATGAATTGACTATGTCTGAGTTATTTGTGTCAGAGCTCTATATTTGTATACTTACTTAGGCGAGTAGAAACAGATGAAATAGTTCATGTTGTAATTGGTTGTTTTCTTACTTTCTATCATCCTCGGACATTTAATCAAGGCACAACCAACCGAATCTGACTTAGCACTGACTAGCTACAACAGAAATAAGACATACTTTACTCTGACATTCATTTAACCTTCATGGATTTCACTTCATCAGGAACGCCCAAAGCCGAATAATTGAAAGCCAAGGATGTATGAGAACCGAAACAGTTGAAGAGCTATATGATCAAAAAGGACATAAAAATCGCCAAATCCGTCTTAGAAGATGTGATATGATTGCCAATGAGACAACTATCCACCAGAGACCAAATGACGTAGATGTTAGCAAATATATTTCACTGAACGACCCTCAACATTGAGTATAACCCATACCGTATAGTAAACTATACAAGTTAAGTCGATTTTGATTTAAATTTTACATAATTTATATTTTTGCAATACCGTAGGAATAATATTTCAAACGTTCTGTTTGCATGATGTATGATTTAAAAATATAAACGTTTTCTTCTCATGATTTCATTGAGAATATTTATGATAATTAAACCAATAGGTAGTTAACATGAATTATTGATAAACATAGATGGACAATTTATTTAAAATTGATATCTTTTTTTCACTAAATGGTACGTACAGTTTCGGGTATCACTATTCAAGTGCAATATAACAGAAGAATGGTAATATAAATGAGAAATGAATTTTGTATGTTAATAGTCCAAATTTATTTAATGTCAACACTACCTTTTTGTCCAAATGTCGTTATCAGTGTTAATTGGTCTGAATTCCAGACAATCAAGTTTAAAACATTTAAGTAAATGTAAATATTAAAGAGATGGACGGAATCTGGTATCGCGAAGCACGGAAAATTAAGAGAGTCGTAGAATTACTGCCGAAGAAAAAATTCTAGATTTATTGGACAATACGGTAGTGAAACATATTATAAACTCTTAACTTCAAATAAGACAGAACTTTCTTCTGAAATTTATTAAGTCCATCTGCATTCACTAAAAATCAGTCCCCATTAAAATGCTACCTTATATCCTGAACGTTTTTTAATGTAATTGTTCTATTTGTCAACAAATATAAGCATTTATAGGTAGACCTCACCAAGTTTTTTTTATGCAATTTTCTAATAACTCCTGCATGTGTTGCTTTCAAAAAAATGTGCAGCAGATATTGTAATATAATATACTCCGGGTGCGGGAGTTTCTCGAGTCATTGAAGACCCATTGGAGGCCTTCAGCTGTTGTCTGCTCTATGGTCGGGTTGTTGTCTCTTTGACACATTCCCCATTTCCATTCTCAATTTTAGAATGGAATGAATTCACTGAAAGTCGACGCTATAACATTGAGTTTATAGCGTATTACTAAATACCTTCTAAAATCTTCCGAAACAAAGAATAGCAAAAAAGAACCCTTACTTTAGTAAATTATTATTTTCTGGTGAAGCTTGAAATGTTGAATGGAATGTTGTCTCTTGCACTTAAACTTAATATCATCATTTTTCCAATTAAAGGCAACAAGATATATCTATATAATAAGCAGCGGCGTCAGGAACGCATGCTACGCCTTTCTTGTGCATATTGGAATGTTCACGAAAACAAAATAGAATATGTAGAAGGCATCTAATTAGAAGCTAGTAAAGCGGCGCTGTCGGAAAACTTGCACGAGTATATCATTTGGAGTAAAATTATTGCGCAAATGTGACTGTTAAAACTGAAATGAAAAACCAGATAAATTTCAAAATCAAAAGAGATATGAATTAATGAGAGTTGGTATGATTTCCTTTTTGACATCTATCCAACATAGAACAATAAAATCATCATAGATACCAAAATTAAAAAATTGTGTACGCCAGCCGCGCGTTTTGTCTACAAAGGCAACAAGGCGGATTTCAGCAACCATAGCTCTCCGTACGGCCCACATTCACCAATCCCAACATCAGGGTAAAGTGTGTAGTAATGTAATCCAAGTATGCTAGAGCTACATGTAGTGCATGACACGCGATGTTTTTTTTTTTGCATTTTATTTATCTGACGGTTTAAGACCAATAACTCAGGAATGACAAATTAGAAAATTGTCAAAATCGAGGGGTATCTTACTTTCATTAATCCAAACAATTGTGTTTATTTTAATCAATCGAAGCATACTGAAGATATGATACAATAGAGGGAAATTTATCTATATCTGACAGTTATAAGTCACTCTGGAACGACAAATCAGAAAACAATCAAAATCGAAAGGGAATGTATAAATACACAGCAACACGATGTTGGAATGGAAATGGTAAATATGATGGCCCTTGCTTGAAAAGTGACAAGCTCTTTGTTTTCTGTAAATCCAAGCAGCAACTCTTTGAGAGGTTCTTGAAAGCAATAGGGGTTCGTCTGGATGAGTTTAGACTTCTATGTAGTATTTTGTCTTTTCGTCGTTTTGGTTATTTTTTGCCGTGATATTGTCAATTTTTCTTCGACAGATGATTGTGTTGTTGTCACTTTGGCTTTATCAGCCTCCGTTTTTTTTTTGTTGCAAAGCAAGTTTCTCGTCCTATCCGACGTAACTCTTTTGCCAATAGAAAAGTCTAAAGTCCTCCAAATCTCTGATAACTCGATTTTCAGAAACCAAGTTTAGTTTGATTATCAATGAAATTATAATATACCAGAATTGTCTTGGTATATCAAGTAATACATAAACAAGCACATTCCCGATTGAATAGTTTGTTTTGGCACTAACAAGTTGACAAACCAGGTATATTTAAAAGTAAAAATACATCATTAAATAAAGGTTTAAATGACCCTGACTTACCTGTTTGTAGTTGCATGTTTCACTTTCTGTACATTTCACATCCCACGAAAATAGATTTTGTCTCTCTTTATCCCAATCCTTCAATGCGTCCATCATTACTTCACGAGATCTCGTAGCTTTTGTAAAATATGTTTTATACAAGTTTTCACCATAGTTGTCATCCCATAGTCTATTAAATATACAATTATGTCCCCACTCTCGTGCTTTCTCTGCAGCTGCTGGATCCCAACTCTACAAAATACCAATTGACATTTATTATACAAATTGGCATGTATTTGTGCAATGCTAGGCTGTTGAGCTGCTATAATCATATCAATCTTATGAAATTGTCATTTTAAATACATTTTTATAAGGAAACAGATAATCAGTTATGTTCTATGGATTTAGGTTCAAAGCATTTAGAACCAATCAAACTTGCGTCAAACTTATTGTATGACGAAACAAATATGTCAAATACACTGTATAATATGATAATTATGTAAAAAGTATTTTCCATAATTTTGTAGAATCGAGATTTAACAATACTGGTCTAGGATATATTTTCATGAATCAGATTGGCTTTTGTGATAAAAGTTATCTTGGTCGAATATTGAATGATCAGTGTATTACCTCACGATTTTGCGATACAGCAAATTCATTTCAGGGACAATTTTATGTGATATTTAAAAAGGACTTTGGATTAAAATAACATCTGATCAGACTATCTGAACAGAATAGAGACGGGGTAACAAATTTAAGGACATCGAACTTACGTATCCCAATCGAGGCGGGGCGTTGGCAAAATATACGTAGACAAGAGAGCATCTGTACTCTCTGTCATGTATTAATTTTGTTGGTGATGGGTTTCGTGTTTCATTTGTATGTCAACATGATTCTATTGTTAATTATAGAAACCAATACTTACATGTACCTAGATACATGTATACTACTATTAATCCACAATACATTAAAATGGAAGGATTATTGTCCATATGTAGTATGGAAGTCTACAAACGACTTTCAGTTCTTATTAAGAAAATTGCTTGTTTGTTCTAAAATATTTACAAATAGATTTCTATGTGTTTAAATAGTACCACATGCTCATTTTGTCATTTTATTGTTTATGTATTATACTTTGACCTCATGTAACACCGTGATTTATCTGTCTGAACATTATCAATAAATCTCTTATAATCTCATACGAAAAAAGCACCAAAAAACAGATGATTTATTAATATAAAAATGACTTCATGTAATCAATCAAAGAATAAAATGAAATACAAGTATACCATTCAGCTACATGTTACAGTATAAAATAAGGAGATGTGGTATGATTGCCAAAACTATCATCAGAGACATTATTATATAGATGTTTGCTACTAATATACTAGGTCACCGTACGGCATTCAATAATAAGCAAAACCCATACCGAATAGCAAGCTTTAATAGGCCTCGACATGACATGATCTGGACTACATATTAACAAATTTAAAAATGATATCAATTATTGAAATTTCAAAGTCACCTGTTGCTTTGATTCTCTCTGTTGGATTTTACAAAACGTATGGTTTGGTTTCTGAAAGTAAATATTTCATTGACAAAATTTTCAAGTCAAATTTAACTTGGACCCATATTTTATGAAACGTTGAATGTATCGTACAAAGAAAAAATAAAAATAAAACTTAAGGTTGTATTTGATATTATAATGCAAGAGCAAACAACACGTAATTCGGGATTAAAGTTTATAATGTACGCTAGAGAAAAAAAAAAAAGAAAGCGAAATCCTAAAGTATAAACCCGTATAGAACACAAAAGGTCAAAATGCCTAACCGGAAAAGCCAACAATGTCTGAGGTCAACTCTATATGTGGAAATTGCAAATTTAGCATAATAAATCAAATACAAATGCACAAATGTATGTAAATTAGTTAAGCGGAAAATTTCGACATGTTTTTGAAACAACACAAAAGTGTGAAATACTGAAAACGACAAATTGATATTTGTCCCATGATTGGCCATGTGGAAGAAGTCCTTATATATTGTAATCAATACATTTTTCACATTGTAACCGTTAGATGAATACATAAAAGGAGGGAGATCACTGGAATAACAGTACAACATGAAATGAAACAACACAATACAGTTAGCTGAAAATGAATGAAAACAAATATCATTGTATTAATGAAAATCCATGTCAGTAAACTGGACCTCTGCTGTTGTTTCGCTCTTATGTGGCGGAGCGTCAATCAGCGGGTGGTCAGATTGCCATGTCATATGCTTTGGACCAGCCCGACTGTGCAAGACCCTAATGAGATAAAATATCAAGAATATGTTTTACTCTATTTCGACTTTAGAAGAAGCAGGAAGTTATTTAAAATTAATGAAATCCATCTAAAACATAAACAGTTCAAGACGTCAAATTAAACACCAAAAAAGAAAGAAATTCAATAAAAACTATTTTCTATTCAAATACTTCCAAATAATATAAAATTAAGGAGATGTGGTATGATTACAAATGAGACAACTATCCACCAAAGTTCAAATGAAATGGATGTAAGCAAATATATGTAACCGTTCGGTCTTAAACAATGAGAAAAAAAAACCATACCGTATAGTCGGCTATAAAAGGCCCCTACATGAAAAATATGAAACAAATCAATTGAGAAAACTAACGGCCTAATTTATAACAAATCAATTTACGAAAAACAAATATGACAGACATGAACCAACGACAACCACTGAACTACAGGCTCCTGGAATATAGAATGTGGTTGGGTTAAACTAGTTTGCTGGCGCCAAACCCTCCCCTTTACTTGGGACAGTGGTGTAACAGTACAACATAAGGACTAACTATAAAAATCAATTGAAAAGGGCTAAACTCATCAGATCGATACAAAGCAGAAAGCATCTAACGAATCGGACGTGGCAGCGTATCTATACATCCAAAAACAAAAAAAGACACAAAGTAAAGATCTGAGCTAGTTCAAGGTCAATGACAAGTAATTAAAACATCATGTATATAAGACTAGAAGTATATAATATGCAGGTTTATTTAACATGTAATATCTTAATTGATCCATAATTTCATTCAATTGTTTGTAGGTGAATCTTCAAAATATCGTCATTTGATAAGGTGATACTTGAGATAGTGGGTAATGAATTAGATAAATATAGGATATGTGGTGATAGTAATAATATAAAATAATCTGATGTCGGAGCCATTTTTAGCTTACTGTACGGTATTGATTTAAGCATTGTCGAAGGCCGTACCGTGAGCTTTAAGTTGATTATAACAGTCGTCCTTTGGTCTTTTGTAGATACTTGTCTTATTAGCAATCATACCACATCTCCTTATTTTTATATGTATATGTTACAGTGAATTTGTAGAATAAGGGATTATGTATAATTCATGAAATGTTCAGTGATTATGTTTTATCACTGGTAACTTTAGTGATTAGATATGATTTCTCAAGTTTTCAGGAATTATACATAATCACTAGAAAACATATCAGGGATAATACATAATAACTGAAATGAAGAGAAAACGAATATATAATGCAGAGTAAAATAATTTATTCTATAAAATCATATTTAAACATCTTTAGAAGCATAAATATCAAAATCTTAAGCACAACATTCTAATTCAAATCATTAATTTTTGACAAACTACTATGAGGGTCTGGATGAGGGAGGGGTGTCCCTCATTTCTTCATTCTTCAATTTTTTACATTATTTTTCTCTATACTGTATATTTTAGCACACTATTATTCTCTATTCTTATCGTTTTGTCTATTTTGTCTATTCCTATTTTTAGTCCTTTATTTTGCACTGTTTGCCCATTATTCTCTATTCTGTAAACCCCATCCAGACCCTTTACTAATGAAAATTTGCTCAGGGAATGAGAACTGTCCACTTTAACCTTAAAGAGGTTATATATACGATTTATTTGTCTGTATTTGATTTATTTTTACCCAACAGAGAATCTTTGTTTTATTGATAACCCCTGAAAAAAATGCAGGGAATTTGTAAAATAATTCTTAAGATTTTCAGTGATTATGTAAAATCACTGGTCATTTTCAGGGATTATATGTTACTTTCCAGAGGTGTGCATGAGACGAAGGTTTTATATATACTCCTATATGTATACGAATATGTGAAAACTGTTGTTTCTTATTTGTGTTTGTAACTATGTATACTGTATTGTTTATTATATTTGTAAAAATAATATTATAATGATATTATATTATGCTCCTTGTGAGCCCATTTGATGAAAATAAAGCATCTTCTTCTTCTTCTTCTTCCTCTTATAATCACTAATGATTTTAGTTATTATGATTATACAAATGCACTGTAACATATACACACGATTTGACTATGGTCAACTTAAATGTAAAAAAGCAGTATAATTATACCGTACAGTAAGCTAAACAAAAGGGCCCGACATTAGATTATATATATTATAACTATCACCAAATGTCCTATAGTTATCTAGATCAGTATCACCTAGCTTATCAAATGAAGATATGTTGAAGCTGTCTCAAGAATCACCTGTAAACAATTGAGTGAAATTGTCAACATTAATTGAAATATTTCATGTACAATACAATTGTCAAGTCAAGTCTTTGGAAAGAATATAGGTTCATTTATTTGCACTAGAGAAAAGTCAGACTTGCGTTTATTTGACCTAGTATGACTTACTTTTAACTTTATATGAACAAATACGTAAACTGTTTACTCGCCGTCTGTAGATATACACGACGATCATTGACGGCCACTTCATCTTAAACAACAATGTAAATGGTTTTGAGGTATGGATATGTTGATATAAGATAGACTATGTATACAAATAACTATGTAATTGCAGATAAGGGAGATAACTGTTGTTCTTGTATCACTAACTTGCCAATTAAACTCAAAGTGACCGTTCACCGATTTTTAGAACATCATAATTTGAACTTGTGCAAATGAATGTAATTCCATGTCGACCCAAAAATTTCGTCTGGCTTAAATTTCAATGGCTTTCGGTCATTTTGGGGACATGTTAATAATTGTTTAATTGTGTATGTTCACTTATCATTTTGTAAAGTAAGGGCCTTTTATAGCTTACTATACGGTATGGGTTCAGCTCATTGTTGCACATTCACACAACTACCATATCTCCTTATTTTCATATTTTAACACATCTGCAATCTGACTTCTTAAATATGCATGGAATATTTTGTCATTGGATGTTTAAAAGACAACGAACAATCA